ATTTTTTTCCAAATTATATATAAAGAGAGATGATGGTAAGTGTTAATTGGCAACTTTTATATAATTCCAACACAAGTATTAGAGAGATTTTAAAAGATAATGCAAGAAATGAGATTTTTCTTGATGGTATCCTTAGGCACGAGAATTAGCAAGTAAATATTTGTAACCGCATGGACTGCGGCAGAAAATCTATCCCATTTTCAAATATTTGCCTGGTATTTGTAGCTATTGCATATGAAGAAAATTCAACCACAATCAAAATTGTGAAGATGTGGCACAATGATGTGGAGTCGATTCGCTGACTGGATGGATGAATTGTTGACTATTGACCGGTTTGATTTAATTGTGAAGAAAAACATGTTGATTAATTGATGCCTTATAATTTTTTGAACTAAACTAAGTGTTTCTAAAATGCGACCTTATTAGTGGGCTGAGTAAATAAGATGATGCCAAGTGTTGCCTCCTCGGCCATTTGATTGATGACCCTCTGGTGACTTCTATTTACTTGTCATTGGTGTCTAGGGTTATGATTCATTAATTCATTACATTTGTTTTGGGGCTGTTCGTCTTCCTTTCTCTCTGACTTCTGAGTGTCATTTTTCAGCCGCTTCTCTCGAGTGTAAATTGATGATACTTTATCTTTTAGATGAAATCATGTACTACAAATCTTGAGTGATCATCAGTAAATGGTAATTGATTTCATGTATAGTTCTTAAGGGAACTGCGGTTTGTATTCGTGAGGGTTTTCAGTAAATCTTGAGTGATTTCTGAGTTTTGGGATTGAATTGTAATATTGGACGGTCTTTGGTTCAGGTTAATGTGATAATCTACAAAAGGGGATTAGGAGCTTATTCTGAACCTTTTGTTTTAGGACAAAGATCTCTTGTGTTATTTGTCTTTCATTTTTGTTATATTTCTGTCATTTATGGTTGATGAATATTGCCTAATATCTTGAACTTAATCATAACAAAAATAAACAATACAAATTGTACAATAAAAGTACGTATCCAGCCCACAACAAGAAAATCTTGAAAGGCTCAACTGATCTAATTCATGCAACACCGGCGCACAAACTGAACAATTATCTATGCAAAAAAATAAAAAAAAATAAAAAAAGCAGCGCACTCCTTCACTCATGAAAAATCAGCATCGCATTCCCATACTCGGGCACTGGCACTGGTTTCTTGGATCAAGCGTGTTCCCTAAACAGAAATCGGGCAATTTGGTGGGTAATGAAAAAAAATTCACGAGGTGAACACCCATTTTAGCGCATGTTTGATGTGTGATTTTTTTAAGAATGTGTGATTAAAAAGTTTTGAATTTGTGTACAAAATATTTTGTTGTGTGAATATGTAGCTGAAAATAAGTGTAAGAACTAAATAGTTTTATTTAAATGGAGACAATCAGGTGCTTAGATTTTACATTTTGATTTTCTTCGTCTTCTTCGACATAGCTGAAGCCATGAAGCTTGTCAATGATTTGTTAGATGGAGGATATTTTGGGAATTCAAGAATCCCTGTGAAGTTAGAGACAAGGATGGGTTCTTCGTGGACTGTGACATTTAGGGTTCGGAGCAATGGAAAGAAGAAGGATTGAAGATGCAGTGTCATTGAAATTCTCTTAGAGAAGCATTTTTTAAAGAACCTAACTATCATGCTAGGCCCAATTAACCTCTTAAGAACTTTTGGATATTAAACCGTCCAAACTAGTCATGGGTCAATCGATTTTGGCAGTTGAATCAATCTAATATACGGCTGGGATTTCCTTAGTTTACAATTACTTTGGTTTCAAGCACTATTCAGATCAATTTGAGAGTCAATTTCCAATTTTCCTTGTCAAAATAGCAAGTCCAATCTTGTTTAACATAGGTTTTCATTTTCCTATGTTAGTTTTCAACTTTGCTTGATCCAAACTCACCAAGACAACTATTTTGTGATGTATCTCATAAGCGACATCAAAAGCAATATTTTAGGATAGCCTCCTCACAACATGTTCAAGCCACCAATTCTTATTCTAGTAACTAGTGTAACATTTTCTCCACTACCGCCAAATTATATTTTTAATCCTTCTTGATCGTATAGTAAAATTATGGAAAAAAAAATTGAAGTATTTTAATTCTAGTTAAGGGATTAAACGATAAAATCATCAACCTGCCCAGGCCAACCGAAGCTGTTGGTTTTCGACGTAGCAACATTTTGGTTTTAAGCCCAACTATTTTAAACAGTTATAAATAGTTCGATTTTGGCTCTAATAGTAAAAAAAAAACACTTGAAATAAAACCGAATTAATCACTCAATTAAAAAAAAAATTTACTTTTTGTACATAAGATTTCTGATTTATAGTCCAATACTTCAACAACTTAATTTATAGTTGGCATCTATTGGCTCCTTGCGGACGTATAATAATTTGAAATAATATTTCCTTTTCTATTTCACAGAGAACGAATTTGAAAGTTTCAATTTAATGTAGAAACTTTTATTATTTCATTTCTTTTTTAATATTATAATGATAACAATATATTATAACCGTAACCTTTATGTTAATAATGTTTCAATTTATCTATTGTGATAAATGTTAGGCTAATATTTTTTTCGTTTTCACTTGTTAAAGAATCACTTGTATTATAGCTAAAAACTGTAGTGCGAAACCAAACAAAACCGTAAAAAATTGTTTTGTTTGATTTGGACTGATTTAGAAAAATGAAATGGCTTGGTCTAATTTGAAAGTAGGCGTAAAGCTTTTTTCATGATAAATATCAAGTACACGGAATTGAATCAAATCTCTTGAGATGCATCCTTTTTTTATGGAGATTGTCTAATCTTAGCCAATTTCAACAAGGATATCGGGTTGGACCTTGGGGCCGAGTCATTGACGGCTGAAAATTTTCTTTTTTGCTTTTCGAAATATAAAGAAGATAAAATAAAAATGATAATTTGATGATAACCAATTACTAATGGTGCAGTGGTAAAGGTTTCAAATTCTAAACATCCTTCCTCTTGAGATACGCAAGATAAAATTTGTACAAAATACTAAACACCTAATACAACCTTTCACTCCAATTACTTTGGTTTCAAGCACTATTCAGATCAATTTGAGAGTCAATTTCCAGTTTTCCTTGTCGAAACAGCAAGTCCAATCTTGTTTAACATAGGTTTTCATTTTCCTACGTTAGTTTCAAACTTTGCTTGATCCAAACTCACCAAGACAACTATTTTGTGATGTATCTCATAAGCGACATCAAAAGCAATATTTTAGAATAACCTCCTCACAACATATTCAAGCCTCCAATTCTTATTCTAGTACCTGGTGTAACGTTTTCTTCTGCAATACCGCCAAATTATATTTTTAATCCTTCTTGATCGTATAGTAAAATTCTGAAAAAAAAAATTGAAGTATTTTAATTCTAGTTAAGGGATTAAACGATAAAATCATCAACATGCCCAGGCCAGTTGGTTTTCGACATAGCAACATTTTGGTTTTAAGCCCAGCTATTTTAAACTGTTATAAATAGTTCATTTTGACTCTAATAGTCAAAAAAAAAAAAAAAAAAACACTTGAAATAAAACTGAATTAATCACTCAATTAAAAAAAAAAATTTACTTTTTGTACATAAGATTTTTGATTTATTAGTCCAATACTTCAACAACTTAATTTATAGTTGGCATCTATTGGCTCATTGCGGATGTATAATAATTTGAAATAATATTTCCTTTTCTTTTCACAGAGAACGAATTTGAAAGTTTCAATTTAATGTAGAAACTTTTATTATTTCATTTCTTTTTTAATATTATAATGATAACAATATATTATAACCGTAACCTTTATATTAATAATGTTTCAATTTATCTATTGTGATATATGTTAGGCTAATATTTTTTTCGTTTTCACTTGTTAAAGAATCACTTGTATTGTAGCTAAAAACTGTAGTGCGAAACCAAACAAAACCGTAAAAAATTGTTTTGTTTGATTTGGACTGATTTAGAAAAATGAAATGGCTTGGTCTAATTTGAAAGTAGGTGTAAAGCTTATTTCATGATAAATATCAAGTACACGGAATTGAATCAAATCTCTTGAGATGTATCCTTTTTTTTTATGGAGATTGTCTAATCTTAGCCAATTTCAACGAGGATATCAGGTTGGACCTTGGGGCCGAGTCATTGACGGCTGAAATTTTTCTTTTTTGCTTTTCGAAATATAAAGAAGATAAAATAAAATTGATAATTTGATGATAACCAATTACTAATGGTGCAGTGGTAAAGGTTTCAAATTCTAAACATCCTTCCTCTTGAGATACGCAAGATAAAATTTGTACAAAATACTAAACACCTAATACAATCTTTCACACCAATTACTTTGGTTTCAAGCACTATTCAGATCAATCTGAGAGTCAATTTCCAGTTTTCCTTGTCAAAACAGCAAGTCCAATCTTGTTTAACATAGGTTTTCATTTTCCTACGTTAGTTTTCAACTTTGCTTGATCCAAACTCACCAAGACAACTATTTTGTGATGTATCTCATAAGCGACATCAAAAGCAATATTTTAGGATAGCCTTCTCACAACATATTCAAGCCTCCAATTCTTATTCTAGTAACTGGTGTAACGTCTTCATCTCCACTACCACCAAATTATATTTTTAATCCTTCTTGATCATATATTAAAATTCTGAAAAAAAAAATTTGAAGTATTTTAATTCTAGTTAAGGGATAAAACGATAAAATCATCAACATGTCCAAGCCAACCGAAGCTGTTGGTTTTCGACCTAGCAACATTTTGGTTTTAAGCCCAACTATTTTAAACAGTTATAAATAGTTCGATTTTGGCTCTAATAGTAAAAAAAAAACACTTGAAATAAAACTGAATTAATCACTCAATTAAAAAAAAATTACTTTTTTTACATAAGATTTCTGATTTATTAGTCAAATACTTCAACAACTTAATTTATAGTTGGCATCTATTGGCTCATTGCTGATGTATAATTATTTGCAATAATATTTCCTTTTCTATTTCACAGAGAACGAATTTGAAAGTTTCAATTTAATGTAGAAACTTTTATTATTTCATTGCTTTTCTAATACTATAATGATAACAATATATTATAACCGTAACCTTTATGTTAATAATGTTTCAATTTATCTATTATTGTGATATATGTTAGGCTAATATTTTTTTCGTTTTCACTTGTTAAAGAATCACTTGTATTGTAGCTAAAAACTGTAGTGCGAAACCAGACAAAACCATAAAAAATTGTTTTGTTTGATTTAGACTGATTTAGAAAAATGAAATGGCTTGGTCTAATATGAAAGTAGGCGTAAAGCTTTTTTCATGATAAATGTCAAGTACATGGAATTGAATCAAATCTCTTGAGATGTATCCTTTTTTTATGGAGATTGTCTAATCTTAGCCAATTTCAACAAGGATATGATGGCTGAAAATTTTCTTTTTTGCTTTTCGAAATATAAAGAAGATAAAATAAAAATGATAATTTGATGATAACCAATTACTAATGGTGCAGTGGTAAAGGTTTCAAATCCTAAACATCCTTCCTCTTGAGATCCGCAAGATAAAATTTGTACAAAATACTAAACACCTAATACAATCTTTCACACCAAATTTTTTTCATTTTTTAAATTTCAAAATTTGAAAGAAAATCTTACCTTTTTACGCATAAGTCTTGTCAAAATTTGGTTGAAGGCGCAACTAATAAATGAAGAAAGTCGTGTAAAATATTTGAAGAAGACGACAATGCACGTCATGACAATATGCTTCTAAAATGTGGGGAAATTTGTTTGCCTTTTTTTTGTATTTATATGCATGGACAACTATGATTTTCATTTGTTTTCATACTTCGTTAAAAACCCTTTGGAAGGGAGGGGAAATATATATAAAAATAATAATAAAAATTAAAAATTAAACGCACAAATATGATTTGAGAGCCTAACTTTTTTAGTTCGACTCATTTTTAAGAACTTCGAGGCCAGGCTTAATGGCCATACACATAAGAATGCATGTGTTTATTTCATTTTGATTGTTGCTTGATGATTATATATGCTCGAACATAGTTTTGGTTCCATCCCATGATATTTTAAATTTTTTTCCTACCCGAAGGAAAATAAAATACCAAAATTTTCATCACAACACCAACTATCTTTTGTGACACTAGTCAAACTCAATTAAAGATTGGGCTTGTCAAAGTTGATTCTGAATTGAGAACTAGAATCAAGTTGGATATAACTTATTAGGTTGAGAGTAGTACTGGACGAGTTTATTCACTTAGAATATGGTATTAAAGTGCTTGAATAAATTGTTCACTTTAAAAATATTCAATTTCAAATTTCTAAAATGTGCATCTATAACATACTTTTTATATTTGTGACAAAATTATAAGAACAAATCAATCTTAACTTTACAACACATTAAGATTTGCATGGAAGAAATAAAGCATGAGATAAAGAAAGAGGCTTATTAATCAACCAGAGGAAGCTTACATTAATATGTTTGAATAAATTTGATTACAAAATCGATGCAATCTATTAGTTTATTTTTAATTGAGCCACAAACACTGGTATGAAACAGAAATGCAGGGAACTAAAAATTCTTTAGCTACTCAAGGGATTCCTCAACCTCCTATTCCACTTACATATCGTGCACCAAATCCAAATCCACTACCAGATCCTCCACCTAATCCACCTCCACCACCTCCTCCTCCTTGAGCACCGCTCCAAACCCACCACCATCCTTCTCCAAAACCAAAACCACCCCCTATTCCTCCACCTCCACCACCACCTCCGCCGCCACCGCCACCTCCTAAATTCCAGTGATCAAATAAGAATTTTTCATCATTGAAAGAACCATCAGTGCCAACTAGCTTTCTCGCTGTGGTGGTGCAAATAAGAACACCAAGAAAAAGCAAGAGAACAAATTTGGAAGTCATCTCAATTTGCAAGTAAAAGATATGTTAAATATGTGTCTCGAAATTTGGCAATCTTGGGTTTTGGAAAGAAATCTTGTTGGAGCCATATGGTTTAATGAAATAATCAATAGGATTCAAGAAATATGGAAAGAATCAATTGGAATCCAAGATTAGAAAGGAAACAATTTGAAACTGTGAAGAAACGAAAGAAAATTGTCGGACACGTGACACGTCTTTTTCGTTTACGTGATTTTCTTTCCGTGATTTTTTTTTCCTAATTTTATATTTTTTCCTAGTTTTAGCGTTTGACTCGTGTACTATAAATACGTGGCTCCTCTTTCAGTTTAGTTGAAGCCAATTGTTGTAATTCTCTCCTTTCATAGTGATTGAATAAAATAACATCGTTCCTTTGTCAGTTCTCTTTTATTTTGCATCTTTTACTTTAATCTTGTCCTTGGTTATTTTGTGATCTTTATTTATACTTCATATTGGATTAATCAAATCTCAATTCTTGCGTTGTCTTCATCGATCCCAGCAAGTGGTATCGGAGCAAGGTTGCAAGTTTTCGTAATTTGATTGAGATTTTCAGAGATGGCTTCGATGAAGTATGATATTTCGCTGCTGGATCACAATACAAGGTTTTCGCTATGGCAGGTAAATACGAGGGCTGTGTTGACGCAAATGAAACTTGATGATGCTTTGCTCGGTTTTGTGAAGATGCTAGCAAATTTGTCTATGGAGGAGAAGCAACGAAAAGATAGGAAGGCTACATCATTGATTCATCTTCATTTATCCAACAATATACTGCAGGATGTCTTGAAGGAAAAGACAGCGGCTGCTTTGTGGCTCAAGTTGGAGCAGTTGTACATGATAAAGAGTCTGACAAGCAAACTTACTCTAAACCAAAAGTTGTATTCCCATCGCATGACGAAAGGAGAGTCACTACAGGACCACCTTACTGTGTTCAAGGAGATTGTTGTAGATCTGGAGAAATTGAAGGTAAAATATGATGAAGAGGATTTGGCTTTGATCCTGTTGTGTTCCCTACCCAATTTTTTTTCGTCGTTTCGTGATACTATATTATATAGTCGTGACACGCTAACCATTGAGGACGTATACGACGCCATGTTCTCAAAGGAGAAGATGGAGTTGTTGGTTGGAGATCCTACATCTAGGAGTGGGGATGATCTTGTTATTCATGGTGATCGACGGAGGGGTAGATCGAAGGTGAGGTACAGAAATGTGTATTGTCATTACTGTAAGAAGAAAGGACACATTAAGAAAGATTGCGACAAGTTGCAGGGTAAAGGTAATTTGAATACAAATCATGCAGGGCAATCAGGTAATTCGAACGAGACTAATATTGCTGAGAATTTTTGTGATGATGGAGATGTGATGTTGGCTATATATGACGGAGAATCCAAACCTGAGGAGTGGATTCTGGATTCTACATGTTCGTATCATATGTGTCCCAATAGGGCGTTATTCGAGACATATGAGGCGGTGAAGTAAGGTGGAGTTGTTATGGGAAACAACCAATCTTGCTAGGTTGTAGGAATCGGTCGGGTCAGATTGAGGCTACAAGATGGGACAGTGAGGACACTTGATCAGGTTCGTCATGTTCCAGACTTGACAAAGAATCTCATATCACTGAGTATTTTGGATGCAAAAGGGGGCAAATTTTCTGGTGGAGGTGGAGTCTTGAAGGTTCGAAAGGATGTCCGGGTTGTACTGGAGGGACGGATGAGATCCCAAATTGTATATTTTTCAGGGAAGCACAGAACCAATTCAGAGACATTTGGACAAGTTTAGTACCGTGGTAGAAATTCAATTTGGTACATTACCTCTTGTGTTAGGCTCTGGGTCAGTTTCGAACTTTGTTCGTGGGAGTGTTGGTGATTCTGCTTTGCCATCAATTTCAGTAAATACACTTTGTTCTTGTGCTAGTGGACTCATGGAGCATAGGTTTAGTGGTGTCAATAATATCTGTAATGCCTTAGATATCGTTGAAAGTAATAGTTCTAGCAAGGGGCCTTCTGATCGTGCATTTCGTGCGGTTTCTGCTACAGGGGTATGCTTCAACCCTGTCTAGTGATTATTAATTCTAGGTGGGATTTTGGGAACCGGAGTTTGGGTTCGGGTGTCGCATGTGGACGCCGGACGGGAGAACGTGTTTTCGTGGAGAGTTTAGTTACTGTGTTGAGGAGTTTGGTTATTCTGATGCAGACGGATCATTTCTCAAGGTGGAGAAATTTGAAGCATCGTTCGTTGCATAGGAATTTCGAGTCAAGGTGGAGATTGTTAAATATGTGTCTCGAAATTTGGCAAGAATTTGACAATCTTGGGTTTTGAAAAGAAATCTTGTTGGAGCCATATGGTTTTAGGAAATAATCAATAAGATTCAAGAAATATGGAACGAATCATTTGGAATCCAAGATTAGGAAGGAAACAATTTGAAACCGTGAAGAAAGGAAAGAAAATTGTCGGACACGTGACACATCTTTTTCTTTTACGTGATTTTCTTTTCTTGATTTTTTTCCTAATTTTATATTTTTTTTTTCCTAGTTTTAGCATTTGACTCGTGTACTATAAATACGTGGCTCCTCTTTCAGTTTAGTTGAAGCCAATTGTTGTAATTCTCTCCTTTCATAGTGATTGAATAAAATAACATCGTTCCTCTACCAATTCCCTTTTATTTTGCATCTTTTACTTTAATCTTGTTCTTGGTTATTTTGTGATCTTTATTTATACTTCATATTGGGTTAATCAAATCTCAATTCTTGCGTTGTCTTCATTGGTCCCAGCAAGTGGTATCGGAGCAAGGTTGCAAGTTTTCGTGATTTGATTGAGGTTTTCAGAGATGGCTTCGATGAAGTATGATATTCCGCTGCTGGATCACAATACAAGGTTTTCGCTATGGCAGGTAAATATGAGGGCTGTGTTGACGCAAATGAAACTTGATGATGCTTTGTTGGGTTTTGTGAAGATGTCAACAAATTGGTCTATGGAGGAGAAGTAACGAAAAGATAGGAAGGCTACATCATTGATTCATCTTCATTTATCCAACAATATACTGCAGGATGTCTTGAAGGAAAAGACAGCGGCTACTTTGTGGCTCAAGTTGGAGCAGTTGTACATGATAAAGAGTTTGACGAGCAAACTGATTCTAAACCAGAAGTTGAATTCTCATCGCACGGCGGAAGGAGAGTCACTGCAGGACCACCTTACTATGTTCAAGGAGATTGTTGTAGATCTGGAGAAATTGAAGGTAAAATATGATGAAGAGGATCTGGCCTTGATCCTGTTGTGTTCCCTACCCAGTTTTTTTTCGTCGTTTCGTGAAACTATATTATATAGTCATGACACGCTAACCATTGAGGATATATACGACGCCCTGTTCTCAAAAGAGAAGATGGAGTTGTTGGTTGGAGATCCTACATCTAGGGTTGGGGATGTTCTTGTTATTCATGGTGATCGATGGAGGGATAGATCGAAGGTGAGGTACAGCAATGTGTATTGTTATTACTGCAAGAAGAAAGATCACATTAAGAAAGATTGCGACAAGTTGCAGGGTAAAGGTAATTTGAATGCAAATCATGCAAGACAATCAGGTAATTCGAACGAGAATAATATTGCTGAGAATTTTTGTGATGATGGAGATGTGATGTTGGCTATGTATGACAGAGAATCCAAACCTGAGGAGTGGATTCTGGATTCTGCATGTTCGTATCATATGTGTCCCAATAGGGCATTATTCGAGACATATGAGGCGACGAAGCAAGGTGGAGTTGTTATGGGAAACAACCAATCTTGCTAGGTTGTAGGAATCGGTCGGGTCAGATTGAGGCTACAAGATGGGTCAGTGAGGACACTTGATCAGGTTCGCCATGTTCCAGATTTGACAAAAAATCTCATATCACTTAGTACTTTGGATGCAAAAGGGTGCAAATTTTCTGGTGGAGGTGGAGTCTTGAAGGTTCGAAAGGATGTCCGGGTTGTACTGGAGGGACGAATGAGATCCTAGTAGTACATTTTGCAGGGAAGCGCAGAACCAATTCAGAGACATTTGGACAAGTTTAGTACCGTGGTTGAAATTCAGTTTGGTACATTACCTCTTGTGTTAGGCTCTGGGTCAGTTTCGAACTTTGTTCGTGTGAGTGTTGGTGATTCTGCTTTGCCACCAATTTCAGCAGATACACTTTGTTCTTGTGCTAGTGGACTCATGGAGCATAGGTTTAGTGGTGTCAATAATATCTGTAATGCCTTAGGGATCGTTGAAAGTAACAGTTCTAGCAAGGGGCCTTCTAATCGTGCATTTCGTGCGGTTTTCTGCTACAGGGTGTGCTTCAACCCTGTCTAGTGATTATTAATTCTAGGTGGGATTTTGGGAACCCGGGTTTGGGTTCGGGTGTCACATGTGGACACCGAGCGAGAGAACGTGTTTTCGTGGAGAGTTTAGTTACTGTGTTGAGGAGTTTGGTTATTCTGATGTAGACGGATCATTTCTCAAGGTGGAGAAATTTGAAGCATCGTTCGTTGCACAGGAATTTCGAGTCAAGGTGGAGATTGTTAAATATGTGTCTCGAAATTTGGCAAGAATTTGACAATCTTGGGTTTTGAAAAGAAATCTTGTTGGAGCCATATGGTTTTAGGAAATAATCAATAGGATTCAAGAAACATGGAAAGAATCATTTGGAATCCATGATTAGGAAGGAAACAATTTGAAACCGTGAAGAAAGGGAAAAAAATTGTCGGACACGTGACACGTCTTTTTCTTTTACGTGATTTTTTTCCTAATTTTATATTTTTTCCTAGTTTTAGCATTTGACTCGTGTACTATAAATACGTGGCTTCTCTTTCAGTTTAGTTGAAGTCAATTGCTGTAATCCTCTCCTTTCATAGTGATTGAATAAAATAACATCGTTCCTTTGTCAGTTCCCTTTTATTTTGCATCTTTTACTTTAATCTTGTTCTTGGTCATTTTGTGATCTTTATTTATATTCATATTGGGTTCATCAAATCTCAATTCTTGCGTTGTCTTCATCGGTCCCAGAAAGATATACTTGATTGATGTGAATTTAGGACACGAAAAAAGGATTATAAAATGCTTGAATATCAGTTATTTGCAATGAAGTTTAATGCTTGAATTAATATGTGAGTTAGTGAAGATCTAATTAACTTGACGGTTTTACATTAGTTTATTAGTAGATTCATTGGTGCACTAGTTAACGTTTTTATTCTTTAGTGGGTTATAAATATGTTCTCTTATCTTTCTAGGGGTGGCTACTTGGGAAGCTGATTGTATTCATTATTATATTGCAATATTTTATAGGAAGGATCACAAAGAATGATCTTTCTTTTAGTTGTTGAATCTCTCTGGTATTCTGAATCCTCATTATTAACGGAATCTAAATAATCTCTGGATTGATTAGAAGATCTAGAATCCATTACTTGAACGTAACTAGATCTTGTGAAATCATATTGAATATTTGACAATTACATGGTAATGTACATTTCTATTCCACTTTTCATGTGTTATTTTCAATCCAATCAATTTTTTTTTCCTGTTTCCTTCCATAGTTCATCATGCATCCATATTTTTTTCCCTCAAATTATAACAGAGAGATGATGGTAAGTGTTGGTTGGCAACTTTAAGTAATCCCGACTCAAGTATTGGAGAGATCTAAAAGTAAATGAGAAAAATGAGATTTTACCTAATGGGTATTCTCAGCACGAGAATCGGCAAGTAAAAATATCTCACGCGCGGACAGGAACAAGAAATTTACCCCTTGCTATTTGCTCGATCGAGCAGTTGAGCAGAAAAGTTTTTCCTTGTTTCACATGCGCAAATTATATTTTATTTTTTTTGAATTTTTGATCAAATCATTGTGTCCTTCCACGGAGAATTATATATTTTTGGACATGGATAAACAAATAACTATACATGGTTTTTTTTTTTTTTTTTTCATTTTTCTACTTTGGAAGATAATAACTATATTGGGATCGTTCCTCCTGCTCAAAAATTTGACACAGTTATTTGATAAATAATCGTAATCTTTAATTTAAATTAATCCAACGTTTAATATGTATTTCACTAAAATCATAGAAGAATTTGTTATAACCACTTGAAATCCATAAAATATTGAACATTAAATGGACTTAAATTAAAAGTCATCATTATTTGTCAAATAAGTGTATCAAATTTATGAGTATGATTAACGATTCCAATTATTTGTCACCTTCTTCTCTTCAAATCAAAAAATTCATATTAAATTGTTGTCATCTATATTTTTAAACTAGCTCAAGCATTGACCTAGAAAATTAAAAGGTCAAGGATTGAATGGTTGAATTGAGTGTAATAAATAAATATGTATACACAAAATTGTGAGGAAAAAACGAAGCTTTTTTTTCAAATTTATTAATATATAGACAAAACCCTCATTAAATTTGGCTATATTGAAAGGTCAAGTTCAACTGAAATAATGGTTTTAGTCCATGTCGACACGTCAACAATTTAGTTTTGAATCCAATTGAACTAAACCATTTATAAATAGTTCAATTTAGGTTTCAGTAGTTAAAAACACTTGAAATAAAATTGAATTGTTCACTAACTAAAAAGAAAAGTTATTTTTGTATCTAAGATATGTGACAAAATTAAAAGAACAAAGCATGAGGAAAGGAAAGATGCCCATAATCAAATGAAATTCACATTAATTTGTTGAATAATTTTAAGTACAAATCAAACATCTGCTTTATAGTAGTTTAATTGGCTCTACACATTATTTTTTACTGAGCCATGAAAATGATCACTAGTTTGGATTAATGGGAAGAAGAGTGAAATTTCTTTAATTACTCAAGGAAATCCACTACCTCCTATTCCACCCCCAGCTCCTCCACCAAATCCACCCCCAGATCCTCCACCCAATGCACCTCCACCTCCACCTCCACCTCCACCTCCTCCTCCAACACCTCCAGCTCCACCTCCGAACCCACCACCAAATCCTCCTCCAAAACCAGAACCACCTCCTACTCCTCCACCACCACCTCCACCTCCACCAAACCCTCCTCCACCACCTCCATCAAGTCCACCGCCTGCACCAGCACCCCCACCAAAGCCAGCTCCAGCACCAGCACCATAGCCTCCACCTAACCCTCCACCACCTAGCCCTCCGCCTCCCAAACCCGGATGATGAAAGAAATTCTTTTCATCATTGAAAGAACCAATCGAGCCAACAAGTTTCCTTGCAGTGGTGTTGCAAACAAGAACACCAATAAGAACCGCCAGAAGAAATTTGGAAGTCATCTTAATTTGCAAGTAAAATTTATATCTTTGTCTTTATTAGTGAGAATTTAGGACCCGAAACAGGGATTATATAATGGTACAAAAACCTAATATTGAGGTGGACAGTTGGAAGGATCTTAATGAGCCCATCTGCTCATCCGTAAAACCGTGTCCCAACTGTCAATGCAGCTAACTCTGCTTTTGAAAAGGAAAGTCCTATCCAGCCTCACTTTTTCATCTTGTTTCCCTCTTTAATTTACCGCTGCACCATTAGAGTTTCCTTCTTCTAAAATTTGTGGTGGTTATATAGTCCATGTGCATGCAAGGAAGCTTTTTTTATCTTTTAATTTAACCAACTAGTGATGGCATGATTTGCCATTTAAAAATTAAATGAAAATTCAAGGTTGGACGGAGTCGGAAAAATAAGTTCGCTATCTTAGAATCAAGAACAAAAAATAATTCCGTGTACTCGAGTCATATTTTGTTTCATCATGTACCTAGTTAGTACTTGATAGACTCGTGGTCCCTATCTGATCTAGCTCCCTCTGGTGATCTCAACGTCTTCCCATATTTGTGAATCAGATATAGTCCATCAAGAGTATCTATTTCCCAATTAAAGAAAGGTGGGAGAAGACATTCTCGAGTCAAATAGATTTGACTATTAAATAATATAAGTCACATCAATGTAAAGCATCTATTTGGTTTATTTAAAAATTTTGATTAAAATTTAAATTAAAATCAACAATTAATTTTATTCACCCATTTCTTGGTACTCACATACTTTATCAACTTTCAATTACATATTTTATCAACTTTTATGATTACTAAAAATCTAATTTTTAGCTAAAACAAACTGGAACTATTAATTATATTTGTCATAAGTATTTATTTCTTAACATAATACAGGAAATATGGAAATAATACTAATATAATAATATTTTCATAAACGTAGTCTTAACCAAAAAGAATGAAATTAAGAGAAAAACTTGTTTTCTGTTTTGCCCTCTCTCACATCCAAATGTTTTCTCAACCTATTATACAACTTATAACTTTTAATGATAATTGCGTCTCATTTTCGGACTGAGTTTTTCTTTTAAGCATTCCTTGTATTCAAATTTATAAATCATTTATAAAATGAATTAAAGTCAAATATTAATTTTTGTTTCGTTGAAATCTCGTAAGCGTACATAAAATGAGTTAAAGTTAAAGATTAATTTCTGTACGGTTAAAATCTCACAAGTGTACATGTTCGTTGACAATTAATAGTAAGAGTGAGTAAGCAATACTGTTGTGACGAGGATTTAAATTTTAGCTTAAGTTCAATTTAATTCATCTTAAAATGAATAAACACACAATTGATGGTTTGGCTTGAGTGACTCATTCTAACTAAATTACACTGTAAATATTTAACAGATCGAATGCAAATGATCGTTTCAAGAAAAGAATTCAATTAGGAAAATGTGCTAGGAGACTCCATCGTCAGTATCTTTTAAATTATCGTATTCTCAATTTTTGTCAACCAGTAGACAGTCCGTAGGACCTTACCTGCGTATTTATTTCCCTAAATGAAAGAGAGACTACACGGGAATGGTAACTGATATTAGCTGTATTACAACCAAGTGTGGAAACCAAATAGGCAGAATAACTCAGTCAATGGTGAAAATTATGCAGGTCTACCCAACTAACACCTTGAGGGGGGTTGAGTAGGTGTTTATGCAAAATTTAAATAAATTAATAAATAATTGCAACAAGTCATAGTTATTAATTAGTCCGGATGAATTCACATGCAATTTACCATATGTTGAATTGCTGCAGTATAATAAATTGCTGAAAATAAATAACACAGGATATTTGATGACGGAGAAAACCTCTTGTGGGATTAAAAGCTTCAGGCTCAAGCCAATATGAATATACTATAAATGAATCAACTTACAGTACTATCAGACTTAATCAACACAAATACATTTTGACCTCTTCACTATAATTTCAAAGCCCTCCTAAATTGCGTGCTCTTGCACCAACTCCTAACTTTCTGATTTCATCTGTCTCCTATGAATTTCCCAAGAACTCTTGTTCTCCAACAATTGAAACTCCGGTCTCCTTCCTTGATCTTCAACCTATACTCTGTAAGTATGGGTTTTTAGTGTTTTATTTATGGGTTTTGATGTTTGTCAATTGCAAATCTCAAGGATTAATGGATTGAATGATAAGGAATATTATTTGTATTTTCTCACAACACTCAATCCAAGGTTTTTTGTGAAGCGGCGTAGGTACTTATATAATGGACATTTAGTATGGTCCTGTTAAAATTTTCGAAAAATTAGGGTTTTTAAGTTTACACTTTTGCTTGAGCGATAGTCCAGCAACGTTGTTTCGCTCGAGCAGTGTCCTGACGACCAACTAGCGAAGACTATTCTGTTTCCATTGCTCGAGCAGTGTCTTGACGAGAGTCAACCGAAATTACGACGACTCTTCTTTTCTTATTTAGAGCTTGAACCCTAACCGACCTAACACATTTATACAAAATTGCACCTAACTCCTTGACTTTTACACATTTTCAATTTGGTCCTTTTTGTTCACAATATCTTCAATTACATTAAAACCTAACACATGATGCAAGCAGCTTTTATGTTTCTCATTCCTTTAAAAACAAATGAAGATAGAATTTTGGATATTCATTTTAGTTTGTTACAATGAGAAAAATATACAGTTTCATGATCAAACAATTGTCTAGTCACAAGGGCGGATTTAGGAATAGGCCGAGCTGTACTATAGCCCGTTCCTCTAGCCCAAATGTTGCTCAAGAAAATATGTATTAAGAATTTATTTTTTTATGCATGGATTGTTTTTTTTTTTTTTTTTTTTTTTTTTTTTTGTGTGTGCGCGTATTAACCCTTCATAAAATTTTTCCTAGATCATTTTCAGCAAAGTCGTTATATCTATGGTTAGTAGTCACAAAAAAATATTCCATCTTCTGTATCTGCTTGGCAAGAAAACCATTTCTGATTAGGTCACAAAAATATGAAACCATCTAGATTGTGTAAAACCCTACATATATAAAAGAGCGAAATTTTGGCTGGACACGTGTCGCAAATTTGTATCGTCATGTACTTTTTTTATATTACGTTGGGCTGGAAGAAAGCATTAGGTAGTCTGTTTTTAGTACTTTTTCTCCATTTTTCATTCAATCTACCATTCCTGTAGTACTCTTCTTCTTCATCTTCTTTCTCTTCTTTCCAAACATCCAAAAAACTAAAATCTCCTGTGAATTCGAATTGCAAAAGAAGGCCTAAATTGTATATATTATGGTTTTAGACGGGGTTGATCAGTTACTCTTATGTAAGTTACGCAATTTAAGCTTTCAATTGCTTCAAAGAATTGAGTAGAAGCTTTCTTTTTTGCTCTATGAAGGTAAGATTTGCTAGACCTTTCAATTGCTAATGATAGCTGTAGAAGAATAGATGGAGACAAAGAAGAGGTCAAAATCTACTGGGATTATTCAACATTTATCTACTTAGAAACTATTTTTTACATAGAAAATAAGTATGCGCTTTTTATCTGTTACATAATTTGAAGATTTGTGACTTTTCTTGATTTGGGGTTTCTGGATTTTGGTTTGTAAGTGGTTTAGTGGTCTGGGTGTTGCTAAAAGCTGTATTCTGTAATTGGAGATGCAGTCTTTACATTTTATTGCTAATCCGAGTCGGTGCTCGATTTGAACTAAGTTGTTATATATTGAATTTTGATCTCAAGATGATAATCCTGAGTTTGAAGAGATAATATATTTAATTTCATTAACTTAACATGTTTGAATATGCTATATAGAATTTACTTATGCATTTTTTTGTTTATGCATTTGATCAAATTAAATTGATACGGATTGGGACCTGGATTTGAAGGGATTAAAAGAATGAGCAGGCTGATCTTTAAAAATCACTTTTTCCCATTTAAGATGCGACTATTTGAGTGTTTGAAATATTGTCTAGGTTGCATTTTGATGGCTATAAATCAAGAATTAACTTTCTACATATTTATCATAATTTCTGATCTTAGATCAGCGCTTGGTTTAGTTTGTAATCCATTTTTGTCATGTAATAAGGATAATATGAATAGTGAACGACAAAAGAAAGTAGCAAGATTTGAGGAATTTATTGAGCAACACTTGAAACCCGGCTTTATTTCGTGCTATTGCTGAACGGTAATATCCCCCTTCTTATTTGTTTGTCTGCCGAGTTGCTTTCCTTCTTATGTTCTATCCTATGATAAATATAGAATTTTTTTAAATAATATTTGTTTCTTGTACAGATTTCTTTTTTTTTTTTTTTTTATCATAAAATTGGTTTCTTGAAGTATCTGGTTTATTGAAAGTTGTTTATAAATTATTTTACCTTTTTGTAGGATTTAGAGCAGCGCGGAATGTTGTTCCCTACTGCATGGTTCAGCACTCTTCATGCAGCACGGAGAGTGGACGGTGCACTCTTTAGCACCATTCGTTCAACACGAAAAGTGCACACAACTATCGGTCCAGCACAGAGAGTGTTGAGGTCGCGCTACGCGGAGAATGGTGTTGCTCGAAATTTTTATCTCATTTATTTAAGCTAAGAACTCCAATTTCTAGTTTTTGGAGAAATTTTGAGATTATCCATTTTTAGTGAAATTTTAATCAAATTTAATTGAAAACGTGCCAATGAACAAAATTCAACAACAAATGTGGGTCAATTTTGGGCAAATTCCTTCGTTTATGCATTGTTTCCTTTTTAGTAAATTTTGTTTTGGTTATTTCTCGATTAATTTAAATCAGATTTGAATTCCGTTTGTTGAAAGATAATCCTTAAGAGTAGAATTTTCAATTTTAGTCATTATCTTGATTTTTTCCATTTTTGGAAAAAAAATTGTCTCAAACATTAAGGTAATCAGTGAATATAACATACGCTTACATTTAATATTCACCAACAAACGTGCAACACGAGTTCTCCTCACTAGTATTTTAAAATTGTAGTAAATAGGTATGTTGTTGATTGGACCTCAGTTTAGCTTTATCACTC